CGTCGCGCTGTGATGACGTCACATGCGCGCTTTCGTCGAGCGCGATTTTGTCCTCCGCGCTTTTGACGGGTCACGGCTAAACTGGCTCTCAGAATAATACTAGTAAAATCACTGCCATTGTAATAATAATTGAAAATTAATACTATATTGCAATAGTCATCATGGGATAATGGTGCAGAGATAACAATAGAATTGAATATAGAAAGTACTCACACATCACTTTGTTTTTTACCAAATAAAGGATCTGTCCCTCTTATAGGGAGACAATCTGTCCAGGGTCCAGTGCTTCTCTGTTCCAGCCCTTGAGACTAGATCAATCAAACTGGGTGCAGTTTAACAAAGGATCTATGACATAAGGCATCCAATTACATCAGATCTAACAGATCTCCCTAAAATGTGACTAACACCCAAGTTAATTGGACAATTAAATTAAGCTGATCTTCCTCATATATTCTCTTTCATGTTCTGTAAAATTTTAGTTGTGAAGAAAAACAGTGCCGGTGTGTAAAATTATTCTGAGAGTTTTGCCTGTCAAAGATGAGATACATTTGTTATATGTTTTGTAATTCATGGAATTACTTCTTTGGAAAAAGTGTGGGATCCAATATTTTAGAGGAGGAATAGCAGGAAACCAGCAGTTCTCAGGAGCTTGTTAATTTTGCCACCTTTTTGTTTTGTTTAATCCTAGGACGTATTTTCCAGTGAAAAAGGGCATATGTGGATCACTACTGGCAAAAGTTACCACCAAGTGAGTGACACAGAGCCATGGTTTTAATTATTTCATTCTTATTAAGTATTCCTTTCCTTCATCACCTTCTCTCCTTTCCCAGCAGGAGGGCTCTTAATGAAACTCATAACACAAACCAGCTATTTTCCTGCTAGAGACAATAAATATCAGAAAAATGACTTCTTTCTCCCCAAGTGACACTACATAGAATATCTTGATTTTTCTCATATCTATTTCCCCCCTCTTTTTCTGCTGGGCTCTACAAAAGATAAAGCGGAGTGACTTATACCTAAACCTTTTGTATTGCTATTTCTTTCCTTTCCCAACAGGCTGACAATGCATAAACAGCTGTTTAAACATCTGGAAGACAGAGGAATACAAGTATGTTGGGGAAAGCTGAGAAATTAAAAATTTGGGTGGCATGCTAGTCTCTACTCATGGGGATGATCAGAATTATTTATTGTGTGTTCATTTATTAAATTTATATGCCACTCATCTCATTATTAAGCAACCCTGTGTGGCTTAAAATGTTATAAACATCAATGTAAAGCAAGTAATAGATCAAAAGAGCAAAACACGGGACATCAAAGTTAAAACACTACGTTAAATAGCAAAGCGAATTAAATAAAATGTCTATGCAGGGTGGAGGTGGGGCCTTCTAATAGTCCACCAGCCACCTCGGAAATGAGATGACCTCCCATTGGGGTCCCAGGCCAGTGGCAGGTCTCCTGGTTCCTTCGGAAGGCCAAAAGGGTGAGGGCAGATCTCACTTCAAGGGGCATGATGTTCCAAAGAGCAGGAGCCACAGCAGGGAAGGCTTTTCTGCTGGTTCTCACCAGCTGCAATTCCTTGGCCAATAGAATCCAGAGCAGGCTCCTCCTCCCAGACTAAGTAGCAAGGGCCAATCCCTGTTTCTCAGATAACCTGGACCATGCCTTACAGGGTTTTAAAGGTAATGACTAACAACCAGGAAGCAAATCGGCAACCAATGCAGTTCATGTAGCAGTGGTGTAACATGGACCATTCTAATTGTAAAGGTTCCCTGCACATGTGTGCTAGTTGTTCCTGGCTCTAGGGGGCAGTGTTCATATCTGTTTCAAAGCCGAAGAGCCAGCGCTGTCCGAAGATGTCTCCGTGGTCATGTGGCTGGCATGACTAAGCACTGAAGGCTCACAGAACACTGTTACCTTCCCACCAAAGGTGGTCCCTATTTTTCTACTTGTATTTTTACATGCTTTTGAACTGCTAGGTTGGCAGAAGCTGGGACAAGTGACGTGAGCTCACTCTGTTACACAGCGTTAGGAATTCAAACCGCTGAACTGCCAACCTTCTGATCAACAAGCTCAGTTGGGCCACTCTAGGGACCTCTAAAACTGTTTGCACTGCTGCATTTTGTCTCAGCTGTAGCTCCCAAATACTCTTCAAGGGTAGCTCCAAGTAGAGTGGATTGCAGTAGTCTAAGCGTGCGATGTCCAGGGCAAGAGTGGCTGAGCCTGAATTAAAACCCGAGATAGAACTATTGCAAAAATATTGCCATTGACTTGGCTACTAACAGGGGTGATGAAGTGGTGCTCCCGAAATTCTGGTATTGCAGCAAAGGCGCCTCTTATTCTTGGTACTCTCTTGGCTTTTTTTTTTTTTTTTTTTTTTTTGCCACAGTCCTTTTATTTCCAGTGTTTGCATTTTGTGATTGTGTCCCTCTTCCACTTTCTCTTTAGACTCTCCTTTGGGTTTTGAATGAAGAAAAGGATTATAAAGAAGCCTTTAGCTATGGAGCCTCCGGAGTCATTTCTGACTACCCAACTCATCTTCGACAGTACCTAAATGCTCATCCTCTGCCACCTTGCAATGCGTAAATTGTAATGAATGAAAAAGAATTATGATGTGAAAGATAGGAAACTCAAAAGTATATTTCACCTGTGCATACTGTAAGAGGAAGACTCTGAAACAAATAAACAATTCTGTTACCAGTGTGGGGCATTCTCAGTAAGTAACATATGTTATACACTGTAGCAAGGGACTGAAGATATAGGAGGCTGGGAGGTCATTGTTCTGCTACAATCCTGCTTGTAAAAACACTGACTTTTTTTCAAGTTGATTAAACAGACAAAGCAGGAAGACAATTCTCTTATTAACACTCAGCAAAACAAATAAAAAAATAAATAAAGTTTTATTAAAGAATGATCTGCTTCCTTTTCCTCCTGAGGTGGGTGTTTCCTTTGTAATAAATGTGCCACTATTCTGGTTTGATATAGTAGTTAAGATGCTGGCCTAGAAACCAGGAGACGGTGAATTCTAGTCCCACCTTAAACAAAAACTGAATGGGTGACTTTGGGCCAATCATCGGGAGACTGTGAGTTGTAGTATCATCTTAGGCATGAGAGCCAGCTGCATGACTTCAGACCAATCACTAGGAGATTGTGAGTTCTAGTCCTGCTTTAGGCATGAAAGCCAGCTGGGTGACTTTGGGCCAATCACTAGGAGATTGTGAGTTCTAGTCCCACCTTAGGCATGAAAGCCAGCTGGGTGACTTTGGGCCAATCACTAGGAGATTGTGAGTTTTAGTCCCGTCTTAGGCATGAAAGCCAGCTTTGGAAATGGCTTTGGACCAATCATTCTCTCACCTCAAGCCACCTCACAGGATTTTTGTCACAGGGAAAATAGGAAGAAGGAGCATTAAGTAGGTTCACTGCTGAGTTATTATAAAGTAATAAATATGGGACAAAAATCTAACAAATAAACAACTAAAGAGAACAAGGGGGTAATTTTGGGACCAAAAATGTGTGAAACCATCATTTCACACCAAAAGTGTGTAGAACCATTACTCACACACTAGTACTGATGATGTTACCTAGCTGGGGTAATGAAATGTCTGCAAGAAAACAAGCAAGCTCAGAGAGCACCAAGGACCCCCTTACTTCAACCCCGAGCTAGAAATATTCTCCTTTATTGAAACCATCATCATCACTGCCTCATTTCTTTTTCCTTTAGTATGTTTTTCATCTTTTTATCTCTCATGAGGCCAGTTATTATTAGTAAAACTCTGGGGAATATTCTAAATGGATAGAGAATTAATGTGGTGGCCACACCCACACAATTGTAGCCCCACACTTTTTACTATGTGCGCAATACACATTAAAAAGCAGTGGGGTTTGATCATGCACGTCATGGCTATTTCCCCCCCCCCCTTTTAAAATCCTCTCCTGCAGGAGGACCCATGTAAAAACTTACATTTTCTTGAGAAAGGCTCTGAAATCAGCTGAAGACCTGGCTAGGGAATTCTGGGACTCGAATTTTACCCATCTTAAAGTTGCCACAGTTGGGAAACCATTCTGTAAACTCACAATCTACCCATCTCTGTACTGTACTAGAGGCTTTCGTTTGTCAGGGGAGAACACCAACTTAATTCAGCATAAAATTCTTGGAGTTATGTGACAGTTACCAAGGCAAACTTTTACACTCTCCCGGGTACCTCATAATGCAGGTTGGCACCTGTTTCAACAGCAGGTATGCAAACAAATTGACAAGTCCCACAAAAGAAGAATCAGCTGTAAGGGTTTGGCAAGAAATGCGAACTTCAAGTCATTGGCACAACATGGGATTGTTCTATGTTCTAGCCAAATATTTTAATCAAGGCCAAAGAAGGAAGTGAGAGATTGTCTAATTTCCATGCTATTGTCAACCCTGAAGCTGGCCTCACCGAGGCCCTTTTTTTCGGCCTTCAGGGTTGCCACATTGGAGCTGAGGGATAGGGAGGGGGGAATAGAGATAGCTGGGGCTTTGTAGCCTTCACCTGTGAACCAAGGCCATTTCAACAACTGGCTGGAGAGAGAGGAGGAGAGAAATAACCAGCAAAGCCACCGGGTGGCTGACTGCCTGCCTCCAATCCCCACAGCCAAGGGTAAAGACCCCCAAGCCAGCCAAGGTGAAGAAGCTGATACGGAAGGCAACAGAAAGGGGAAAATTCACCAGCTAGGCCATTGAGGTCTCCCCTCCCCCAACTGGGGAAGAGGGAACTCCAGCAACAAATGCTGATGGCTTATGGCAGCGACAACAAAGGTGAAGAGAACCCAATGGCAAGTGAAGCCATCCATCCATTCGCCATCTGGTCGAGACTAGTAGTACCAGAAATAGGGACACAGGGGAAAGTGGAAGTGATCATAGAAATGGGTTGCACCCATTGCCTGATCAACCTACCCACAGTCCTAAAGGTAGGAATCAGGGCCCATATGATTCGAGCAGGTCGATGAATCATTGATAGGGGGAGCCCCTGCCACACTTCTCACCAAACCTGTCAAGTTAGAAATGGGAACTTATCCACTTCGTGATGGCACCAAAAATAACAGAAGCAGTGATCCTAGGCCTAACGTGGCTAGATAAAAGGGGCCCCATCATCTCCTGGGAAGGTGGTTGCAGAAAGCTAAAGCTGAGAATAGGCCCTCTTCCCCTTCCCAAAAAGAATTGTCCAATGGCCGAGTGGCACTAAGTGAACCAAGAGAGCTGCAGCTGCCTCAGAGCCTCTCCCAGGTACCCCCCAGATCCCCAAAGAATACCGGGACCTGCTGGGGTACTCAGCAAGGAAGAATGCAACATGTTTCCTCCTCACTGCCCCACAGACTGCGCTATAGAGTTCATACCAGGGACTAAACTACCCACACCAAAGATGTACTCTATGACCTCAAAAGAGATGAAGAGAGCTGAGAGAATACATCGACACCAACATAGCCTGCAGGTTTATTCAACAGGCTAAATCCAGAGTGGCCGCCCCGTCCTCTTTAATGAGAAAAAGATGGATGAGGTTGTGTGTGGATTTTAGGGGAATTAACGCCATATGCTGGCCCACTTGGACAAGGGGAAGGTGTTTACTCAATTGGGCCTACAAGAGGTGTACTACCATGTGTGAATCAAGGAAGGAGACGAGTGGAAAACTGCCTTCAGCTTCCACCTTAAGGAACTTCCAAGTCAAAGTAATGCCTTTTGGCTTGCAAGGAGCCCCTGCAGTCTTTATGAAACTGATAAATGAGATGCTACATGAGCACCTGTATAAAGGGGTCCTTGTGTACTTAGAGGACATTCTTATCTTCACTAAGACCCTGGAAGAACACGTTAAGCTGGTACGTCAGATACTGAAAAAAATCCTTGAAGCTAAACTATACACGAAGCTGTCAAAATGCAAATTCCACAAGACCAAACTAGACTATCTGGGCTACTGAGTGTCAAATAAGGGTGTAAAAAGGGACCCGGCTAAAGTTAAAGCTGTTTTAGACTGGCAACCCCCTCTTACACGAAAACAGCTTCAAAGCTTCTTGGGGTTTGCTAACTTCTACAGACAGTTCATCCTCTCTTTCACTGAAATTGCTCTGCCTGTCACTGAACTGTTAAAACTTCAGGGGGGGGGGGCTCAGCAACCACAGCCTAACCAACCCCTAAAATAGACCCTAGAACATCAGCAGGCATTTGAGGCACTAAAGAGGCTGTTTGCCAAAGAATTGGTCCTTAAACACCCCGATCCAGACCAGCCCTTCGTAGTCCAAGCTGACACCAGCAATGTGGCCATCACAGCAGTTCTCCTTCAGAAAAACACAGAAGGCAACTTGCAGCCCTGCGCATACACCTCCAAAAAATTGACAGAGACTGAAAGGAGCTGGGCGGTGTGGGAGAAAGAAGCCTATGTGATCCAATGGATCCTACTAACCTGGAGACACTTTCTTGAAGGCAGCCGCGTACCATTTGAAAGTATGGAATGACCATAAAAGCCTAGAGATACTCAAGACCCCACAAAAACTCTCCCCTAAACAAGCCCAGCGGGTGGAGTATTTCAAACAGTTCAACTTCACACTAAAATACATCCCTGGGGGGGGGGGGGGGAGGAACCTCTTGGCAGATGCCTTGTCATATAAACCACAATACAACTATAAACGTGAAGAGGTGGTCCATGGTATGATTCCCCTCTCTCAACTTGCCTCACAAGCCACAACCAGGGGACAGTCTACATAATGGAGGATTGCAGATGGTGGTGAGTGGGTGGGATGATCCAAAGGCTAAGAGATGAATTGCCAGCCGATCCATGGTACAAAGACAACAAAGGAGTTGTTGTTGTTGTTAGTCACGAAGTCGTGTCCGATCCATTTTGACCCCATGGACAACGTTCCTCCAGGCCTTCCTGTCCTCTATCATCCTCTGGAGTCCAATTAAGCTCATGCCTACTGCTTTGGTGACTCTATCCAGCCATCTCATTCTCTGTTGTCCCCTTCTTCTTTTGCCCTCAATCTTTCCCAGCATTAGGCTCTTCTCCATTGAGTCCTTCCTTCTCATTAGGTGACCAAAGTATTTGAGTTTCATCTTCAGGATCTGGCCTTCTAAAGAGCAGTCAGGGTTGATCTCCTCTAGGAATGACCAGTTTGATCTCCCTGCAGTCCAAGGGACTCACAGGAGTCTTCTCCAGCACCAGAGTTCAAAGTTCAATTCTTTGTCGCTCAGCCTTCCTTATGGTAAGAACAGAGTACTGACCCTCAAAGATGGACTAGCCTGTAAAAGCTCCAAATTGCATGTGCCCAGTAGCCTACGACTCCAAGTATTCTAGAAGAATAATGATTCCAAGCATTTCGGCTATTTGAAAACCCTGCATCTGGCTGGAAAGTGCATCCAGTCTTTCATAGCAGTTTTTTGTAAGCAGGCGGTAGGCTCCCAGATCACACAGGTAGATCGGGCAGCTACAAAACCAATTGTAGTACAAGGGGAGACACATTATGAGATCAAGAAAATCCTAGATTCTAGATTGCATAGGGGCTGGTTGCAGTACTTAATACAATGGAAGGGGTACCCATTCTCCAAAGCTACTTGGACATTCCAACAGCTGGCTGGAGAGAGGAGGACAGAAGTAACCAGGAAACCGGCCAGCATCTAGATTGGACAATGTGAATTACTGTTTGGAGGAAACAGTTTTCACCTTTTAATTAGGTGAAAACTG